TTATGCCAGGTGCCCTGCTAGGCCTTAAAGATCCTAAGATATTTCCTCACCTAGCACCTCTGCTCCTATCCCCTTAATAGATTAGCTAAGGAGTCAGAAAGGTTTGTTGTTTTTGTTGTTATTGTTTTGCTAGCATGGGTGTAATTTCTCTCTGGTTTTCTCTGGCCATGGCAGCTGTTTCCCTCTTTGGTGTCTTAGTAGGTTCTTTGAATATTGTCCTGTTGGTCCCTCCAACTGCAGCCCTTGTGTCTCCAGAAGGACCTCCTTCAGCTGGAAGATCACTTTTGATCTCCCTCCAATGGCACCCCCACCTTCTTCTGCTGAGATCTATTTGAAGAAGCTCACATGGAAGAATCCTTTTTAAAGTCCTAGATGGGTATGCCTCCAGTGGATACCCATCTGTTCTGCAGACATTGTGTGTTGTACTAGATCTTGTGATGCTTCCTAGATCACTCTTCGGGCATGAAGGACATACTCCGCCCCTTCAACTGCTGTTGTCAGAGATCTCACCCCATCCCCAAGGGTAGCCTAACGTCATGGGACCTCAATTGAAACTGAGCTAGAAAAAGTGCCATTTTAACCAATGTTAAAGGCCGAAGCCACACTATAGGAGTGGGAAGGGTATCTCTGCCCCCACTCTGTGTCATCCTTAGTAATCTAGGCTCCAGGCCCAATGTCATCATTTTTAGTGACAGTAGCACCTTCTTTTCTTTTGTGCCCCTTTCTCTCTAAGGTGGGGTTGATATGTCCTTCCTATTGGCCATTCCTCTCACATGTGAAATATTCCAACATGCCAGAGATTTCACCCACCAGCCTGGCAGACAAGCCAGTCCAGGTGAGGCTGTTCTGGGTCCTAGCAATGGACATGGCTGGGACTGTAGCTTTTTCTGCTTTTTCAATCACTCACTCCACCTTTCCACCCACCACCACCAAATTCTTGCAACATCTGTTGTTTAAACTATATGATTTTTCTCTCAATTTTTATGTTTTAAAAAAATTAAGAATCTATAAATTACATATATATAAATTTAAAAAATAGTTTTGGAATCATTACTATCTTAAAAGATGCTTGTTGATTTCAGAAGCCTTAAAAAGTAAGTAAGTGTCTATGTCACAGTCTGGGAAATGCAGTGTGTATACAACTGGACTTTTTCCTCCTGGAAGGAAAGGGACCACTGGCTTTCTTTCCCAGCAGATGAATGCCTCCTAGTCTCCCCGAAGCAGCACAGCACAGTGGCCATGGACCAATGGCTCCTTCACTATTAGTTGAATGACAGAATGATAAACATACAAGACCTTTAATGGACCAAAATCTCATCCCTAGATCTAAAAATGGAAGACATTAGTCTCTATGTTACTAATAATCCAGATACAAGGGGTAGAAGGAACTGTGATTCTTTAAAACTGGATCCTTACCAGTAGGGAAAAAACAAAAAACGCTCGACCCTTTTCTTAATAAAAATCACAGAGCTCTTTTTGAAAGATGACAAATTCTGGATTTGTGACATCAAAAATCACAACATTTAATGGTAGCTACAGCATATGTCTGTGTGAAATATCCCACAGCTTTGGCCTGAAGCCAAACACAGGGGATATGGTTTCCCGTCCTGGAATTCAGTGACTGTGAGTGTGAAGATAGATTTTGGGAAGTCACAATTTAAGAGTTGGTTTTGTTTAGAGGGAGTAACATGCAAGTGTAAAAGAAGGGGTGACTCAGTGAAAACAACAGAAGAGGAACCACGGCCTCTGCCAGATTGTCCTTTCCTCCACCTCTGCTCCCTAGCCTGCATGCTCTCTCCAGCCCAAAACCAACTCAACGTCCAGACCAGGGCCAGATGGGTAATCCTGGAGATAACACACTTGGTAGGACCAGGACTAGTGCAGGAACTGCATGAGAGTCCTCTTTCTTACCCCAGGAGCTTCTCTTGCTTCAGTGCACTGAAAGTTGTAAAACACTAAAGAAACAGCCCAGCCTTCTAAGATCTCTTCTGCTGTTAGATCCCACCCATTCCAGCCTATTTCCAACCACATTCTGAACCATGTTAATGGGATTATTGGGGCGCTCTTTCTTCCACCTGTCCACTTCATCCCAGGTATCTTCCAAGTTGTAAACTCCTTATCTCTATCCTACCCTTCTAAGGGTGTGCTCTATATGGAGGGGAAGCTAGAGACCCAGTCTTGTTCTTTGTTAACACAAGTGGGTGTTTCCCTGCTGCCATGGCCTTTGTTGCCAAGCAGTCCAGTCTACAGTTGGGAGACAGGTGGAGAGATTTGCTGGGAGGTGTGGAGTTCATTCTCATTTTAAGCAGCCTAGGAGGTTTGCTTAGTGGTGCCCTCTGCTGCCCTCTGTGGCCAAAACATCAATGTCTCTGGAGAGACACTCTAAATCCTGGGATCCTGCTCTCCACCCATCATCTTTGAAAGCGGTTCTCCTTTAGTCTCTGTGGGTTTCAAAAAGTAAAATGGGACACTCTAGCTTCAAGCTTTTGTCTGGTTTATACTTCCAGCTCCTTCCTGCAAAATTTGTTGAACCGAATCCTGGAAGAAATTTTAAGAGGTCACTGGGCTCCTCGGCTCTGCTCTAAGCAAGGCTGGGTCCAATACTTCTGGGAATCATACAGGCTCTTGGTGACTCTCCAGATACTGCCAAACTCCCAGACTTCAAAGTTACTCACTGGGATTTCCACAAAATCTGTCTAATTGTTTATCTTAGCTTGGAGACCTTTCACTTAGACGGACAGGCTGGCCATGGGGAAGGAGCTATGCTATATTAATATGGCTGAAATGTTCTTCAGTGATCTTTTACCTTTCTTTCTTTTTTAAACATCTAAAATGCTACTTTAATAAGCTCAATCCTGCTGAAATGTTCTGGAAGGGTTGGAGGTGTTGCTTTGTGACTTGTAAGCACATCCCAGGACTCAGGGGTTTCTCCTTGCTCTGGCAGTGAATAGCTCTGGGCACCTGGGAGCCAGCAAAGAGCCTGCTTCTTCTCGCACTCCAGTCCCAAGTGAGATGAGTAAGCTTAGCGCCGATTAAGAGAGAACCATGTCTTACCAATTTGAATTCCTCACTGAAATAAATATGTGTCCATTAAGACTGGCTGGCTGGAGAAACCCAGTATAAAATCACTTCATTCCTGGACCAACCACCCCCAAGAAATGGCTCCCTAGAGAAATCTGCAATTTTTGTTTGAATCCTTTCACTGCCACACCCGACATTTGATTTTAAAGTCTGTGTGCTCAGCGCTCATTGGCTCCAGGAAAATGAGAAAATGTGCTTGAACCCCAATTCTTCGCAGGTTTTTTCATGTCTCCCTAATTCTGCTTTCCAAAGGCCCCTGAAAGGTATTCCTGCTTCTCTTACCATGTGCAAGGGGAAATACTTGTTTATTTTGTATTTTGGTGGTGACACAAAAATATACCTCCAAAATTCCACTTAAGTAGATTATTTTTCTTGATATTTAATTTTTTATTGTGGTAAAAATGCATAGCATTAAATTTACCATTTTTAAGTGTACAGTTAAATAGTTAAATGTACTCGCATTGTTGTGCAACAGATCTCTAGAACTTTTTTATCTTGCCAAACTGAAAGTCTATAGCCATCAAACACTTATTCCCACTCCTTCCCCTGTGCCCCCTCCGCCCCTGGTAACCACCTTTCTACTTTGTTTCTATGAATGACTACCTTAGATACTTCATATGAGTGGAATCTTCTGGTGGTGAGGCTAAGGGGGAAAAGGTACAGCCAAGTATGAGGTCTCAGGGAGGACCAGTTCCCTGGCTCCGCTCCCCTCCCCTCCCCTCCCCTCCCCTCCCCTCTCCTCCCCTCCCCTCCTCTTCTCCTCTTCACACCTGTGAAGCCTGTGGGCCTGTCAGAGATTAAGAGCCTCCTGGTCCCTTCCTGGGATATCCCTGCTGGATCCCGGAATCCAGGAAGGGAATGAGGTGGGATTCTGGGGAGAGTAGCTGAGCACAGAGCAGGGGCGCAGGGGCGTGTTGAAGGCAGCATTTAAAGCGCAGATGGAATCTCTGAGCGCTGATCTTCCCCTTAGCTCTCTGATCTCCCCACACCTAACACTTGCAGCCTTCACGTTCCTGGGCTTCAATCGGACTCTGGAGACACGTTGGGCAGGCCTGAGATCTCGTGATTGGAGGACTCGGTGTCAACTCTTTTCCCAACACTGGGAAGCCAGACTCACTTGTCCGATTCTGAACTGGCCAGGTGGCCAGGTCTGGGGAGTAGGGTGTGGCAGGCCAGACAGTTCAGAGGCCCTCTTCTCCCTCATCCCAGTCAAAGCCAGTATCCCTCCCAGCACAACTCCGCAAGCAACCAAAGCGCCAGCTGAGGGAAGGAAAGAACAGGCGCAGCCCTACCACAATTTCATTGCACGGTTTCCCTCAGACCGGACAGGAGCAGGTGATCGGTTTCCCTCTTTTTCCAAAAGGCAAAATCAGGGCGTTCTGCCGAAAGGAGCGCATCGCCCCGGCCCGCGGAGCAGCCACCGGGGCCTTCAGAGTTATTCCCACCCGGCCCTAGGGTCTACGCAGCGGGGCCTGGGATCGCGGAGCCGCTCCGCCAAGCGCGGCAGTGTGCAGGACCCGGTCGCAAGGACACGGCAGGGGTGGGCGGACACCAGCGCAGAGGAGCATCCCCAGAGACCGACTTGTTGCTGTCCCTTAGTCCACATAAACTGCGCCTAAATGGCGCGGAATCCCACCTTGCTACCTGCCAACCTCATAAACAACTACGGCAGTTGCGAAGGGAGGAGGCGGGGTGGGCGGGCCCCACGGAACAGGGCGTTCGGGTATGGGGCGGGCCGCGGTCGGGGCAGAGCTGCAGCGGCGCCTCTCCATTGGCCAGGACAAGTGGGCCGTCGGCGCTCGCGGCGCGGGCGGGGGCGGGGCCTCCTGGCGCGCGCCCGCCCCGCCCCCTGCGCCCTCACTCCGCGTGCCCTCCCCCGCGTGGGCTGCCAGAGTTTTTAACGTGAGCAGGCAGTCCAGGGAATCAGACGTTCGGGAGTGGCCTGGCGCACTGCTCCAGCGTCCGCTGCGCTACCGCCAGCTCTCCTGAGCGGGCCGTACAATCCTCGGCAGTGTCCTGAGACTGTATGGTCATCTCAGCCGCCGCGGCCGCCCGCCCCGGATTCTACTAACTGTGGTCGTCGGAGCCACTTTTTCTTTCTTTCATTTTTTCAACACCCAGGAATTCGAGGAAAGAAGGAATTTGGTCCTCTTCTCGCTGCCCTCTTTCTGGCATTTGACAGCCTCCTCCCACTCCTTTCCTTGACCCCGCCTCCCGGTGCAGGTTCCTCCCTGTCACCTTTCTCCACCCCCTTTCCCCGCACCTAACCAGCCGCCCGCAAACTTCCACCTGACTTGTGTGCGGCTCCTGGCCTGCGAGCACTTAGGACTTTTAACACTGGACGGAACCTCAGAGAGGGAGGAAGGGCCACAGCAACGGCAGCGGCTGCAGCCCCCACAGGCTGGGAAGCCCAAGTGCTCGGCGTCTCAAAGGACCGCGGCAACAATGACAGCTGACAAGGAGAAGAAAAGGTAAAGGGGCGTCGGAGCGGGCTAGAGAGCTCGTCCAGGGGTGGCCTCGCGGCGCCGGCGCGGCCGACAGCAGCTGGGAGAGGAGTGCAAAGAGGTCTTTGAGACCCGATGGTAGATTTGGAAAGTTTTTTGGAGTGTGGGAGGGGGAAGCAGGTGCTCGCTCTGGGGACAGGGCGCTGCAGCTTCGCAGTGGAGAGTTCTGTGGCCCGAGGATTCGGGGACCTGAGCGTGCCAGGAGGCCAGGAGGCCGAGAGAGATGGCCCTGCGGGGTCGGAGGCGCTCCCGCGGTATCTTCCAAAATCTCCCCCGTCCCTACCCCAAACTCCCGCGACAGCAGGTTGAAATGTTTTTCCTAGGTTGGTTTAACTTAGGTCAGCTTTCGACTTTAAGTCTCGCATGCAGGGCAGCATCCACTCCGGACCCTTTGGGTCCTTCCAAATGAGTTGTTATGTCCTCTCTGAGCCCCAAACTGGCGAGGGGTCGGAGGCGGAACGCTGCCCTGAGACGCGGCGGCACGGAGGGGCCAAGGTGCAGCATAGGGCCCCCACTTAGGGTCTACAGATCCCACCGAAGCTTGGAGAAACCCCCTTTCTGATCCCTCCCGCACCTTGACTCTGCGGGAGAGTGGGTAGTGAAACCTGTTCCCTCGCCCGGGCAGGTGTCTTGCTCTGTGGCGAGGTGATGGAGACACAGGGAGCTCCCGGCAGGTCCCGGGGTTTCTCTCCCAAGAGGACGGAGAAGGGCAGCAGCGATCTGCCTGCTGCCTGCCGCGCAAGCCTCTAAGCACTGGGCGAGAGGCAACTCCGGCCAACTCTCGCTGCCCTCCCGCCCCCTCTCGGCCGCTCCCCGCTGGCGCTGTCCCTGCTAGGGTGAGAGCGCACCTCGCTGCCGCCAGACGTGGGTACCGCTTTGCTTCCCGCAATCGTGCTGCTGGCTGCCTGACCCTCACTTCTATCCCCACCGGCGCTGCCCCGGCGGGCTGAAACTTTCGGCTCCGAGCTCGGCGGCAGTGTGGCAGGGCTGGGGTTCAGGGAACTGGAATTGAATGCACCGCAGGTTGAACGACCTGAGCTTCAGATATCAGCTGCTGGGCAGCGGTGAGGAGGTTCGGAGATGGGGGACCGCAGAGGAGGGGGTGACTGGCCTCGAGCCCCCCCTCCCCCCCAAGAGCTCAAGTGCCTATGTTGATTTGCTCTTGTTCTGACTTCCACTGCGAGATCGGAGCCAGAAATCGTGTATCCTCTGGTCGAAAGCGGCGGTTCCCATCTCGCGGCACAGATAAGGATTTGATAAAAGGGAGTGAAATGCACCCGTTCTGGACTGGCGCCTGGCCGCTCCGTTCTCTGATCGCTGGGGGGGAGGGGACTGAGCCCGGCTCCCTGGAACCTACCGCTGTTCCCCCTCCCAAGTTACTGTGGCGCCCCCAGGCCTGAGAAGGGTGAAGGAGCTTTGGCCCGACCACCCTTGGTCCTCAGACCGAGCCCCCTGGGGCCTTGGAGCAGCCCTGGAAATCAGTGTCTGAAGGGCACCGAAGCAGGGAGCAGAGTTTAAAATCCCACACATTTTGTAAAACCAGTGTAGCCTGCATCATAATACCAATAATAATGATGAAACAATTTTTAAAAACACAACAGAGTTGTAGTCCGCTCCTGTGAGCGCACGCTCCGGCCCCAGAGCGGCCGAGGGAAGTTACTGTACATTTACAACCCTGATGCCTATGAGTGAATGTCGCAATCACAGAGGTGCGGCATGAAGTTTAATCTTGACAGATGTGTGAAGTGTTAGCTTCCCCTGAGCTGCTCAGTGCCGGCTCTTTGCTATTATGTGTATTAATCATTGCAAGAAACTTGGAAACAGTGGGAAATGATTTCAACATACCTGGCCGGAGTGCCTCCTTCGTTCAAGATAGAGGGGGCAAGTTGCAAGAGGGCAGGAAAAATTGGGGGTAATCAGACTCTGAATTATTCCTGAGAGCTGTGAGTTTAAGAACCACTGCCAGAATTGCCCGCGAGTTGCCTAGGAGGCCGCTGTCGGTGCTACAGTGCCCAGTGTGACTGCCTTTTGCGACTTGCTTTGATTTTTGGGTCCTCGATCGGCAGGGCAAACAGCATATCCCTCACCATCAAGAGTCCCTTAAATGGTTGTCCAATTCCTGTTGGGCTAGTTGTTTAGAGACATATTTACTTTTTGTGTCTGGCTCTGTTAGCTAGGAACGAATACAATGAAAGTTAAAGTTAGTGTGACCTGTAAGTGGCTGTCCTTAGCTTTCCTGCAGGGGCTGGCAAGTGCAATGTGCTGCCTGCCAAGGGGGCTCTCAGATGATGATTCTGCACGAGTTCCTATGAGTTTTTATTCTGTTGGTTCAGCAGAGCCATTTCTTACCCCAAATTCAAGATGCATGGATACTTACAAAAAGTGGTTAGGATCATTTTGTTCCAAAATGTTCGTGTGTCGATGGATATGTTAATGTTTAATAATAAAGAGTTTGCTTTCTAAGAGTTGGCTGGCTGGCTGGCCTTGATAGAAGGTATCAAAGTGCACTCTTTGGGTGGTAGTGGCATTCTCGTTGATATCAGAGAGGGTCAGATACTGAAGCTGGGTAAGGGTGCTGCGCTCACCTTTCTGCGCTGTATGTCAGGAGTGCAGTGGAGGCCTCATTAATCAAGGTTCTGATTCCACGAAGAGCTGGAAAGTGTCGGGGTGACTAACCTCCTGATAAGACAATTTCTGAATCCCTTCCCTGGGAGAGAAACCAGTCTGGAAGGTTTTAGGTACTTAGAGATTGGAAAGTGGTTCAAGTAAATGTACGTGAGATCCTTGGATAATCAGGTATCAAAGTCCATTCCCAAAGCTAAAGGGAACTCGGAACACCTTCTCCGGTGAAGGCTTCTATCACTTAGTGCTGTGCCAGTGGTGGAAGGAGTCAGAGACATCTGGATTAGAAGTTTTCAGACGATCTGGCCGAAGTTGTTCCTCTGCTAAAATAAAACCCAAGTCCGTCTTTTTCTAACACTGAAGGCGGAAATATTGCTGGACAGTTTTTCTCAATTTACATATATTTTCTATAAATATTCCTTCAACATTTGATTTGTTGCTGTTGCATAACCGGAATTCAGGGATAAAGAACTGATGTAACACAGCGGTTCAGGTATTTAACATTTAGTTCATGCAGCTTTCATGAAGTTCAAAAGAATGCCGTGGCTACAGGTTTTTTCAGTGTCGCCGATGGGAGCTTAGAATTGTCTTATAAGGGACTGTGCAAATCATGTAGGCATACGTTTTCCTTTCTGGATAAGGAAACTGAGACCCAGAGAGGTTAAGTGACCTCCAGTCACAAGGAAAGTTAGCTCTGGTAAGAGTCAGAACCCTCGTTCATTACTTCTAGTTAAGTAGGTCTTTTCCTGTTGTTGGCAAAATAGTACCTCCTGAAGTGCCTCTAGACAGTTCCAAAGGATTACGTGCACCACCCCCACCCCCACCCCCATCCCAAACTGAGCCTTATAGAGAAGAGACTCGCTTTGTTAGATTATAAAAGATGTCAGGCTCACCAGGAATGGTTCTGTTTGCTCTCTACTCCTACTCTGAATAAAATACTGAAGAGGAGACTAAGAAATAGGGGGTGTTGTTCTTGTCTTCAAATTGCTTAGTTTGGTGGGGGATGGAGGGAAGACATACAGGGAAGTTTAATTAATAATATATTGCCCTGGCCAGTTTGGCTCAGCAGTCAGAGCATCGATTCCCCTCAGGGGCATGTACTTTGGTTGGGGTTCAGTCCCTGTCCCCAGCCCTGGGGGTCCTGCGAGAGGCTGCCAATCGATATGTCTCTCTCACATCCATGTCTCTCTCTGTTTCTCTTTCCCTCCCTCCCTCCCTCCCTCTCACTCTATCTGAAGATAAATGGGAAAATATCCTCAGGTGAGGATTTAAATATATATATATATATATATATATATATATATATATATATATATGTAGGCTGGCAGCTTACAAGTGACTTTTCTGTTGGGATCAAATCTTTCGAAGCTAAAGATAAGCTCTCAGTAGCGTTTCAGGGAGTAGTAACCACACACACAAGCACACATGATTAATAAAAACGAGTGTGTGTGTTTAGGGGTGGGAGAGTTGGTTCATAATTTTCCCTGTAATCACCCAGGGTAGGTGCTGACCACCAGCATAGAGATCAGCTCTGAGGGCAGATCAAATTCGGGTAGTCAGTGTCAGGGACAATGAGAGTAAGAAAAACTGGAGGGTTCAAGAGTATTCCTTATCATGTACTTGGACACCATAGTCAGAAAGCCTCCAATGATGAATGTTTGCTGTTCTCTACACGCTTGCTTTGGGCACAGAAGGAGACATCTTACAGGGCTCCCCTAGTGATAGGGCTCGAGGTTCTGGTCCCACTGAGGATAACAGTGGAAGCCACTATAACTCCAGGGAGGCCAAGGGAGAGGAAGCTTCTTAAGTTGGATTTTGTGAATGGGGTTCAGGGGATAGCCTGTGAACCTTTGAAATTCCAAACAAGATATTATATATATAAGCACCCCCCTGCCAAAGGAAGTCTGTTCAGTTCTCAATAGCCTTTCCAAGCCTTTCCAATCTGGAAAACGCAAGCTCTGGCTCTTAAGTCTCTGACCCAGAGACGGCCTTACATTTCAGCGTCCTTCTGTTTGTCCCAAACAAGTCCATTGCTTCACTGCCAGTGTCTCTCCATGTCTTGGAGGTGGGAGTGGGGTTGGTGTGTGCTTCTAGTAAAGGTCCTGTGGTGCAACTTAATCTAACCTGTACCCCATGTCTGCCCTTAGCCCTGCACGGTTATTTGGAGGTAATTTTATGCACTAGGAATACATGTGTGTGTCCTAGTAGAAATTCTACACACAATAGGACAAAACAAAAAAAAAAAACCTGCACACTTAGTCTTATTTGTATAGGCACTGTCCTTAGAACTTTACATGGATTAACTTTTTTAATCCTAATAACAACCTTGAGAGATAAGCCCTGTT